TATAACACAAATCTGATCTATAATCAGAAGGAGCAAGCGGAGCAAGAAAAAATATAAAATGTTCAATTTGAGGAGAAAAGCGGCACCAAGAAGTGGAATGGAGCTATTTTCAGGCAGACAAAAAGATTAAAGAAAAGCCGGATGTTAAATGGAATAAAGGAAGTGGTGACCTCAGGGGAAGATCCCACTCAGCTAAACTTCCAACTTGTGAAAAGGAATGAAAGAAAATCTTAGGGCCAGGTGTGGTGGTGCTCACCTTTAATCCCAGCTCTCAGAAGGCAGAGGCTACTGGATGTCTGAGTTTGGGGACAACCTGGTCTATAGAGCAAGTTCCAGGACATCCAAGCTTATGCAGTGAAGGAAACCATCAAAATCAGAAGATGTAATTGAATGAAAGGACCATGTTCCAGCCTGACAACAGCATAACTTGGCAGCTTTGGCTTTTTGTTTCTGGCATTAGATTCAAGGATAGAAGGGGATTTTGGAATCTCTCTGTGACTAAGGAAAGCCAGAGTCTATAGGATACCTGAGCTTCTAATAGGGGCTAGAGTCAGATCAGGAGGAAAAGCCATGACCAAAAATCAAGCTGGGGAGGAAAGGGTATATTTAGCTTATACTTCCAGATCATAATCAATCACTGAAGGAAATCAGGACAGGAACTTACACAGGGCAGAAACCTTGAGTCAGGAGCTGATACAAAGGCCATGCAGGAGTGCTGCTTACAGGCCTGATTTCTAACAAAACCAGGACACCAGCTCAGGAGTGGTACCACCTACCATGGGCTGGGATCTCCTCCATTGATCCTTGATTGAAAAAAAATGTATTATACCTGGATCTCATGGAGGCATTTCCTCAACTGAATCTCCTTCCTCTCTGATGACTGGAACTTGTGTCAAGTTGCCCCACAAAACCAGCCAGTACAAGCACCTAGATGTTACTTACTGCCTACCTCTTTGAATGTGACCTAATATCCTTATAACTTAGGTAAGCCCTACTGGAATGGACAGACAGCTAGTTGCCACTAGTTTAAAAGTGTTCTAGTGGGGCTGTAGAGACGGCTGATGGCTCAACAGTCAAAACACTAATTGCTCTGAGGACTGGGGTTTAATTCCCAACAGCTTAGGACTATCTGTGACTCTAGTCCTAGAGGATGAGACACCCTCACACAGACATACATGTAGGCAAAACATCAATGTTCATTAAAAAAATGTTCTAGTGTCTGGGACCTATAATAGAAGTTTTCCTGGTTTGCTGTTAAATTACCTGATGCAGCCACTGATGATGCGGTTGCAAAGCATCTTGACAGTGGCTTTCTCTGTTCTGTTACAGCGAGTGTTTCATGAAACTGTTATTAGATTCAAACCTGAGACTTGGGATAACCTAAATCTGTATCTCTGGCCCACCATTCACTCACGTTTGTTTCTGGAATAAACTGTCTCTTCCCAATAAGGTTCCCAATAAGGTGAGAGCTGGGGTGTGTTTGTGTTTGACTTTGCACTGATTGTGGAGCTTCTCTTGGCTTTTTCTTTTATTGTTTTTTTTTTTGTTTTTTGTTTTTTGGTTTTTTTTTTTTTTGTCTTTTTTCAGCCTGACCAGTGAGGAAGGGTCTGCTCTGTGCTCCAGTGTAAGTGCTGCTGTTTCCTTTATAAACTAATGTCCAACTTGTCTGGCTTTCTCTGGTCTCTGTATCCTGTCACACTCTCTTCCTTTCAGCTCATCTCACCTCTCCCTGGAGCTGCTAGGCAGATGCAGTACTGTGGACTCTGAAAATGCTGCAGAGAGGAAGGGGAATCAACTCCATTATGTCTGCACCCCATTTTGGTCTTCTTTCAAATGGGTGTTTAACTCACAATTGAGAATCTGTGTTTTTCAAACAGGGAAAGTATGCCTTTTCAGGGGCATTTCATGGTGTCTGGAGAAGTTTTGGGTTGTTCCAAGTGCAAGAGGTACCCAATATGAAGCAGAGGCCAGGGATGCAAAGGACACCCCCTCCCCCAACACCCCTGCACCCTGGCCAAAGGCAAAAGAAGCAATGAGTCATCCACAGTGCTGAGGGTGTGGGGAAGTGGACCACCCACAAGGCTCTGTATTCCATCCTTAGCACTGCATACAACTAGAAGTAATGGCATATACCTGCTATACCAGCAGGAACTATACAAGCAAGTTCCTTGGCCACTTGGGGATGAATTCATGAGATCCTGTGCCAGAAATGAATATTTTATTTAAATAGTGAGATTGGTTGAGAGTTTTAGAAAAATACTAGGTAGTAGGATAGTTTGTTTTCTCCCGCCTCTTATTTTGAGACAAGGTCTTACTATTTAAGTCAAGCTAGTCAATCCTCTTGCCTCAGCCTCTGACTGCCTCACCCTCTCAATTGGCATCACCAGTCCGTGCCACCACACCTGACTCTTAATGAAGATGCCTATAACCTGAAGAAGTATGAGGCTCAACAGGAGCTGATAATGAGTATAAAGATGGGAGTGACTTGCAGACTAGTGAACACCAGTCGTCTGTAAGGCAGAGGCAAGTTCACAGAGGCACAGTAGGGTTAGAGGAAAGATGTGAATGGAAAATATGCCAAGCGCACCCCCTTCCTCAGGACAACTATTGACAAAGAAAATTCTCTGTAAAATTGGCTGCTCTCTGAAGGGGATTGCAATACCCTATGAACAACAATATCAACCAACCTGATTCTCCCCATCTCCCCTCAGAGCTCCCAGGGACTAAACCACCAACCAGAGAGTATACATGGAGGGAGCCACGACTCCAGATACATATGTAGCAGAGAATGGCCTTGTCTGACATCAATGGGAAGGGAAGGAGGCTTGCTGCCTCAGCATAGGGGGATGCTAGAGGGCTGAGGTGGGAGTGGGTGAGTGGGTGGGGGAGCACCCTCATAGAGACAAAGGGCAGGGGAAGAGGGGGGATGGGATGGGGTAAGGTTGTGGAGAGGTAACTGGGAAGGGGAATATTATTTGAAATGTAAACAAATACAATGATTAATTTAAAAAAAAATAGCTGCTCTCAGCATGTCACACAGAAGCTAGGGACCTGCATGCACACCCCATGCCTTTAAAACACTGTGACCTTCTGTTGATGACTGGCTTCTGGAGGTTTTTCTCACCACTTACATTTGCAGTAGCTTTATTCTGACTGGCTGTTGTCACTTTTTACTTCTACATTTCAAAACTCTGATTTTCCTTTCACTCTGATTTTGATGATAAAGCCATTTGCAGTTCCCCAGTTTTGTGGCCACATCTCAGCTTTCCTGGAGAGCTTTTATGACCAATGAGCTACATTTCACTATGGATTTTGTTTTCAGTTCCTATTTCCTTCTGAATATCCAAGTAGATTTCCCCCACCCCGACCCCTGTGATCATTTGTTTACATTTTAAACATTTTTTCTTCTTTTGGCTGAGAATCTGAGATGATATCTGGAGTGCTTAACTGGTAGTTTGAGTATTGAACTTCTTCACTTTTTGAAAGATGTCTGTGGCTGATTCTAATAGCTATCTCTTCTTGTTCAAACAAAATTTGCCTTTTTAAAAGATAGTCCTCCAGTTTTCCTTGTGCAGTTTTCTTACTAAAAATGTTTCTTAGATAGCAGCTTCCTCCATGCTTGTAAGTAGCAGTATACAAACAGGATACATAACACAGACAGTGATGCTCGAAGCACTTTTCTTGTTTTAATTTATGCCTTATGACATATTAGCTTTATTTTATAGGTTAAACTGAGGCAATAAAGGAGTAAAAAGCTCATGAGCTTGGGGCTAGTAAGCTTTAGAGCTGGGACACAATTATAAAGAATTCCCATTGTTCTCAGGTGGAGCTAGGGACATCAGTGCCGAAAGGTCTATCCTATACTACCCACCTCAGTCTTGAGAAGTCTATCCTGCTCTAACCACATCAGAACTGAGAGATTGATTGTATACTACCCATATCAGTCCAGAAAAATCTGACTTAAGTTTACTTCTGTCTTAGGGTTTGCATTGCTGTGAGGAGACACCATAACCAAGGTATCTCTTAAACAAGGACATTTAATTGAGATTGGCTTACAGGTTCAGAAGTTCAGTCTGTTATCATCAAGGTGGGAGCATGGCAGCATCCAGGCAGGCATAGTACAGGAGGAGCTGAGAGTTCTACATCTTCATCCAAAGGAAGCCAGAAGCAGGCTGTCTCCCACATGGCTAGAAGGAGGGTCTCAAAGCCAACCCTCACAGTGACGCACTTCCTCTAACAAAGCCATACCTAATAGTCCAACTCCCTGAGCCAACCATATTCAAACCACCACAGCATCCTTATTGTTTACTTCTGAAAATAATTATTGAAGTAGCTGCTGGCTTGCTCAGTACAGAACACTAGAGGAAGTCATGCACTAGCCTGTAGTGAGGTAATCACCTCAGTGTAATACCAGCTACATCAACTGCTGTCTTGAAAAAGCACCTGGCAATATTATCCATTTGCTTTATGCTCTTCAGGTAAGGCTCACCCTTTCTGCATGAAAAACTCCTTTTAAAATTTCATTTAATGTCAAGAAACCCCCCACTTTCCAACCTTAAAACAGGTACACAAATGAAGTCAGAGCATTCATATTTAGCCTTAACACTTATTCTACTATATTCCCTTGTACTTAAATTTGCCCTAACTTTTATCCTTTGAGAATTTCAAATAGAACATATTTTCATCATATCCACCCTCCACATCCCTTCTTCCAACTTTTCCAGAATTTACCCAATCTTGACTGTCACTGTGTGTTTGTGGATGATAGGACAGGGTAGCAGATACCTTTTAAAATGCTTAGTATACTAAGTAACCCTCAGGAAGTTGGTTTACAGTAACCTCTTGATACATAATTATGGTGCGAAACAGATTTATTTTCATCAATGAGAACTAGAAAGATGAAAAGAAAAGCATTCTTCAGGCAAAGGAAAACGACAAGACATTAACTTACTTATCTAGGACCTGACATAGAAAGCTTTTTCCTATTTGCTATCACTTGGTTATCTCCTTGGCATCTTTCGAGGTATGACTTCCTGATATACTTCAACACCCTGCTCCCGAAGCAGCTTTATTTCTTCATCCTCCTCCTCCTCGTCTCTTGGGTTCAGCTTATCAATTTCCCGTATCAAACGGTCTTCATCCCTTCTCTGTCTATGTATCAACTCTCTTGCAAATCTTAATGTCTGCATAAATAAAATAGAAAGGGACTCACATTAAAGACTATCTCTGCATTGAGAGGCAGTTGACCCAGATCTTAGGCCACGAAACAATAGTGACCAGACCATAGCAGAAAAACATCTTCAAGCTCTATCAGACCTACTAAATCAATACCTGCATGTTCAAAGAGACCAGGTGATTCATATGCATATTGAAGGTCCCACAGAGAAGAGACCAAAGATACTTAAAATCTTTAGGGACCCATGAGCACCCATTTGCAATGAGTGATGGAGAATATCAAAGGTGTAGATCAATTTAAGGAACAATGCTCTACTGTCCATCTTTTCAATCCTGTTTACTTGCATCATATGGAGACTGACTGGATGTCTAGAGCCCATTTTCAAACACTTAGATGCAAGTGCTGTGCATAAGGCTCAACTCTTTACATCTCCTTAGAGTCCCTTGGTGAGATCATTGTCTAACTGAGATGGAGAACATTTGTGCTACAGGATTTTCTTCATTTTGACTTCCTGCCCTGTATGAGCTTAGAGAGAAAAGTCCCATCTTGGACCAGAGTGCTCACCAACTATGGGGAAGGGATCCCAGAGGATATCAGAACCAGTTAGCTACTTACATGCCGATCTTTAATATTTGAGGCGAGCTCATACAGATTTTTCAGGGTCTTGGTTAATTCTCTTTCCATATTTAGAACAGCCGTCACACACTCGATGCATCCCTGGGTGTCTATTTCAGGCCTCTGTTGGAAAGGAACAGGCAATCAACTTACTACCTCAGGCAATTTCTATGTAAGATGAGGAATAGGTTTGTAGGTGAGAAGGCTTTTGAACGTTGTATAGGGTAGTGGAGTCAGCTGAGAATCTTAACGACTAATACCTGGCTCACCTGCAGTCATTTTGGTCAACTGATATGAGCATTAATACCTTTGACAAATTCCATTGCTATGTAGCAAGGGTACCGAGGGCAAATAGTACAGGTTAGTAATTATTCCACTAGTTTTGAAATTCTATAATGTTAATTCAATTTGATTATATATCAGATATGTACTTCCTTTATTTAAAAAAATGCACCTAAAACATCACAGATGAATGGATGCAACAGTCTTTGGGTAGCCCCGGCTATCCTAGAGCTTGCTTTATAGACCAGGTGTGCCTCAAACTCAGACAGATCCTCCTGCATCTGCCTTCTAAGTGCTGGGACTTAAAACTGTGCCATGAGCTAGGATATGACAATCTTTTTTTTTCTTTTTATTGGATGTTTTATTTACATTTCATATGTGATCCCCTTACCCCATCTCTTCCCCCCCCCCAGGAACCCTCTATCCCCTCACGCCTCCTCCTGCTTCTCTGTGGATGTACCCCTACCTACCACCCCCCCCACTCCCAACTCCCTACCCTCAAATTCCCACCCACTGGGGCATCCAGCCTTCATGAGACCAAGGATCTCTTCTCCCACCTATGCCCAAAAGGGCCCTCCACTCTTACATATACAGCTGGAGCCATGGATCCCTCCCTAAGTGCTTCCCAGGCTGGTGGTTTAGACCCTGGGAGCTCTGGTTGGTTGGTATTGTTGCTCTCCTCATGGGGCTGCAAACCCTTTGAGCTCCTTCAGTCTTCACTCTAACTCCTCCATTGGTAACCCCATGATCAGTTCAATGGCTAGCTGTGAGCATCTGCCTCTGAATATGTCAGACTGAAGATCTGATAGTTTCTCTAGAGTGTGAGCACTCAGTAAGAACAATGTAGACAATCATAATGAATACCTGAGGGTCTACCTAAATTTTTTGTGAACTGAAAAAGGACACCAACAGCTTTGGGAGAACTCATAAGTGCTCTGCTTCTAAGCTCTTCAGAGCATTAGGACCATCTGAGGAGTTTGTTAAAACACAGCTTCTTGGCCTCACTCATAATCAGGTTTCTTGGGCCAGGGTGAGAGTCATAAACTTGACTTTTTCACCATTCACATATGATGCTGGTGCTGCAGATTCAGAGATCTGTGTGGCTGGCTCATTGAAAAAAAGCTAAACAGGTATTTAGTGTGTATGTTTCAGCCCTGAAGCTATTGACTCATGTTCAGTTACTCAAAACACGAATAACCTAATTATTAAGTTTAAATAGCAAGCAACTATATTTTAGATTTAGGAAAAAGCCCCAGTAGAAATTGTCAAAGAAGAATTACAGTCACCTGAATTTCTGGAATGCAAACCTTACTACCGCGTTCAATGATGCATTTCAGGATGCTTTTGGCATAGAACCATTTCACTGTAGCCTTGTCCCGAGAATATGCTCCAAAACCAAATCCTGACTTTTCATCATTATACAAGTAAGTCTAGGATAGAGGTCAGAATTTTGGGGAAGGGAGAGAGATAACAGAAGTTAGAATTTCAGGTAAGAACCTCAAGAAAATAGTTTCCTGTCTCAGTGGTCATCTAGAAGAGGTCTTTGATGTTCTGAGTGTCTTGATTGTCCTTTGAATTCCAGAAGTTTCTGTCTTCCTGAACTCAGGATGCCTCAAAGAGTAGTCACCCAGAGAAGTCCCTAATCTTTTTACAGTATGGATTTTCTATGGGTCAGACCTGTTAACATTATCAGTTTCATCCACTGACTGTGTAGATCCATGACAGAAGCCTACCCACAGGGGGCTGGAGAGATGGTTCAGTGGTTAAGAGCACTGGCTTCTTTTCCAGAGGACCCTGGTTCAATTCCAAGGACCCACATGGCAGCTCACAACCATCTAACAGTTCCAGGGGATCTGTCATCCTCATATATATAGACATGCGGGCAAAACACCAACCAACGCACATTAAAAACAAACAAACAAACAAACAAAAAACCAGACAATTACCAGAAGGCTAGGCCTTTGATCCCAGTACTTGGGAGGCAGAGTCAGGAGGATCTCTGAGTTCAAAGCCAGCTCTTATCTACAGAGTGAGTTCCAGGATAGCCAAGGCTATATAAAGAAACCCTGTCTCAAAAAAAAAAAAAAAAAAAAAAAAAGGCCTAGCACAAATTTACTAAAAAGCTAAGAGCAGATTTATCATACTAATCCTGACATATTGACAGTGAATATGAAATTGCATTTAGTTATTAAAGGGCTTATTCTGCTACCATTGGCTATTGCTTGGGAACCCAAGTGAAGAAGTGATTCTCCTTCTTGTAGTCTACAGTTTGCTATCACAGTTACAAATCTCCAAAGCCTCACCGTTGAACTGCTCTCTCACCTAATGTTAGAGATGACGACATGAATGTTAGAAACCCGATGATAGGAAGTTAGTAAATGTGTCATCACCCAGATCAGAACAAAGTCCACCCTCACAGTAGCCCAAGAGCCCTACTAACCAAGTACAAATAAGCATCACTGAGGTTCATGTGGATACAGGCAACTTGATGAATAAAAGCTAAAGCCTCTTCAGGAATGTGCTTTCTTCTCTTAGGTCCCATCTCAGCAGTAGGAAAATTCAGCTGTAAAATGAGCTACTCACTTCACTGGATAGGGTCTTAAATACTAAGGAGTGGATACAACCCACCCCTTGTAACAAAGTGAAATCATAGCCACCTGAGACTGCAGCTGCTAATCTACCAACAGGATAGTGTGTCTGGGTACAGAAACCAAATTGAACAAGAGAGAATTTAGGACTTTGTCTTCTAATTTTCTCAATGGTCAGTCCTTCTGAAGGGTAACTTGAATTGTTTTTAGTTTCTCAGTTTCTTTGAAAGGTTTTCAAGGAAAGCCTGCTTGATATGCATCAAATCTAAGGAGCATGTTGAAAACACTTGTTTATAGGAAGCACTGCAACCCCCTCCCTCCTTGTACATAATTGAGTTGACTGGTGGAATATGATTGAGTTCTTGGCCCCTTAGTCTTTCTTTCAAGGGTCTCTTCGTGGCTGGGCATGTACCGATTCCACCGTTCTTATGCTGACAATGCTGAAAATGGGGTGCTTGTAAGAATGTACTGAGTCACTGTTAAAAATGCATCTGATCTGAAAGTAAAGCTTAAAATTCAGGGCATGCAGAGATGGCTCAGCAGTTAAGAACACTGGCTGCTTTGGGGACAGGACTGTTTTGTCTGGCTTTCCGTGGGAGAGGATGTGCCTAACCCTGCAGACTTGATACACCATGGTTGGAGGATAGCTGGGAAGCTCCACTCTCAGAGGAGAAGTGGAGGGAGAAGGGACTCTGTGACGGGGGACCTGGAGGGGAGGCATCGATGGAGATCTAAAATGAATGAATAAATGAAGAAAGAATAAATAAATAAATAAATAAATAAATAAATAGAAAAAGCACTGGTTGCTCTTCCAGAGGATTCAGATTCAATTCCCAGCACTCACATGGCAGCTCACAACTGTTTGTAACTCCAGCTCCAGGGAACTGACACCTTTACACAGACATACATGCAGGGGGAAAAATTAAGATCTCAACTTTGAGCTAAACCTTGTCTGCTTGAACTGAATTTAAATAGCATCTGTCTAGGCAAGTGCTGCCCGTTAATCCAAGCTATTCTGGAGGGTGAGCAGCAAATATCTTGATATGGGAAACGGTCTTAAAGGAATAGCAATTTGCCACAAAGTCCACCCCTGGAGGGTGGCGAAGGTCAGAAAAGAACCTCTTTGAGGGAGAAGCCAAACTTTGAAACTTGGACGAGGTCAAACAAGGTAGTCTTAAAGAAGGATTGATCAGACGAATGTTTCTTGACCCAAAAGACTCCAATTGAGTCTGTGATTACTCCTTTATGAGAGGTGGTTTCAGACAGTGCTTCTCAAAACCTCGTTTGCCGAGAATTTTGTTCAAATGCGGAAGAGGGATTGGTGGAGCCTGAGGCAGTGCATTTCTAACCTGCTGCCAGGTACTTCCTGTCCAGGGACACACCTTGAGGAAAAAGATTTTAGGAACGTTCCTGAAAAGCTTTCTGTAAATTCTGTAGGGCACACGTGGCACAGGTGGGGATCGTTGAGTAAGGAGGGAGAGAAAAGCATGCTCCAGAGAGCGCTGCGGAGGCCTGACACCCACGTGGCCACGCCCTCCATGGCGGCAAGCCTGGAGATGCAGTCGTGCTAGCGCATTTTGGAATAGCTGGGCTCTAGAGTTTAGAACAGGCTGAGAGTATGGCACCTGTGCAGATTGCCCACTGTTGTTTTGAACGCCATATTTGGTTTTGTTTCATTGTATGAGTGTTTGCCTATGTGTATGTGCACTGTGTGTGTGTCTAGCCTGCGAAGGTCAAAAGGTTACAAGACATCATTGGATCTCTTGAAACTCTAGCCAGAGTAGTTGTGAGCAACATGTAGGTGCTGGGAACAGAACTAAGGGCCTCTGCAAGAACAGCAAGTGCTCTTAACCCCAGAACTATCTCTAGCTTCCTGTACAGCTTTCCTTAGGTGATATGTGACTCCAGTTCCTCCTCCTTAAACCTTGTGGGATTCCAGCTGTTTGTGGTACTGTGTGTGTAATGGGGATCAGAACTCAGCATGTCAGGCCTGGGGCGGAAGCACTTTACCCATGGGGCTATTCCCCCAGCTTTACTTACTATTTTCAATCAATCCCTAATTATACACAGATTTATGGGGCACGTGTGATATTTTGACACAGACATAAAGTGAAAAATGATTGTACTGTGGACAATTTGGCTATAATATTTGTTACAAAGTAATCTTATTTGTTTGAGTCCTGGATATTCCCCAAGACTGGGAGAAGGTAGAATATTCTTCTAGTAGGTTCTGTCTGCATTACACTTCAGTGGGCTCTCAAAGGTTTGGTAGACATCCTTCATTCTTCCTTATTCATCTTCTTTTCTGCTTTGTTTGCCTTTCTTTCTTTGCTGTTTATCTGACTGAATGACTACTAACTGAAGAACCTAGAGTAATTCCAGGCCTTGGTCTGCCGCCGCCATCATACTGCATGTTCTCAAAGCTCCACACTCTTGTCAGTAGCAGTAAAAACACCTGGCCTGCGTGAGTTCCAGAAAGGTTGAGATAAGACCACTCCCTTACCTGTACCAACACCCTGGGCTCGAGAGCTAACCCTCAATTTACGAATTCCTTCTTTATTATCCCCTGAACATCTGTCTGTGGGTTTGTGCTTCAAAAGGAGACTGCTAGGGCAGTGGTGGCACAGGCCTTTAATCCCAGCACTTGGGAGGCAGAGACAGGCAGATTTCTGAGTTCGAGGCCAGCCTGGTCTACAGAGTGAGTTCCAGGACAGCAGGAGTATACAGAGAAACTCTGTCTCCAAAAACCAAAAAAAAAAGGGAGACTGCTTGTGCCTTTTGGAGGTCGTTGTGTCAGCATCTGAGACTGACCGCGACCCTAACAGGTTAGAAACATTTTCCCGGAGTGAATAAAGTTGCTTTTTGTTTATTTTTGACTTTGGTGATCCTTTCCTCATTATTTGCACACTCCGTGAATCTGACATTTTGGTGCATTGGCCAGGCGTTGTGCAATTTGAGGAAAAAAGACCTCAAGTCTCTTGGCAACTTTGTTCTTTTGGTCTTGACAGATCCGTAAGTTTTCTTTTGTTGTCCAGACAAATTGGGGCTCAATGGAGAACAGGAGGACTCGCTATTGATCTCAGAACTGGAAGAGTAGAAGAGATGTCTTGACCTTTTCTTGAACCATTGGATTGTTCATTTGAAACCCTTCAGGATTGGTACAGGTCCAACAACTGTTGGTGGACTGACGTTAAGTGCTAGCTTTAGAATTTGGTTTTGTTTGTGTTTGCCCTCTACTTTCCTTGTGTTTTCTGGTGTTTCCTTCCTCTATCATTAACTTCTGCACTATGGGATGTTTGGGTCCCTTTGTCGGGACATCTTGAGTCCCTTCCCCCTCCACCCCAACTCTATTGGTTGTCCTTACTCTGTCCATGTCTGTCAATGCATGTCTATAGTTTTGTTTGTTTAGGTGATTGACTGTTGCTCTGTGCTTCACATTTAGAGGAAAGCAGTTAAAACATCATCTGCTGGCCTTTTGCTCCTTAACTTAGCTTTACCTCATTTCAAGGATTTTTGGGTAAAAAAAGCAGCTGAATTGGGACAACAAAAACTGATAAAGTGGTACTGCCCTTGCAGCCTTGCCCAGGGGCTGCTTGATCCGTACAAGATGCTTTTAAAGGGGGCACTGGCAGGTTCTCAGCTTCCCTGGTAAGGAAGCTGCTGGCTAGTCCTGCTACAAAGCCTCTGCACCTGTGAAAATTAGATTCAGCAGGTGACAAGGTGCTCCTCTATTGAAATTACAGCTAGAAGTAAGGAAAATTTTGTCCATCTATTTTTAAATGTGTAAGTATATGTGGCCATTGTGTGCTTATTTTCGACTGATCTTAAATGTATACGTTTACTATGTTCTACATGGCTTGGTAAAAGAATATCAGATTGAAAGCCTCTCAGTACCCCAAAGACCCATTAAAGATAAGACTCAAAGCCTAACGTTTTATTGGTTTCTCCTTCTTAGCCCTACTATTCCTACCCCTACCCCTGCAATGGCTAGTTAAGTCCAGTCTCTCTTCTCATGCTTCCCCTGGATAACTACTTTAGTTTTGGCAATGGCTGGACCATTATTCTCTCTACTCCTAGCCCTGAGTTGTGAGCCCTGCTTCAAAACTCCCTCCTCTACTTTGCCTAGTCCTGCATTTCGGCAGTTAAACATATGGACTTAAGACCCAATTTACTCTCTTGGCCAATGACTGGGACCTTGAGAAAACTGGCAAATCAAAGACTTGGTTTAGTTACAAATTAGAGTGGGAAAATGAAAAGCCCATTCTAATTCTAGGCATTGGTCTGCCGCCGCCATCTTACTGCATGTCCTCAAGCTCCACATTCTTTTCATCTGCAATAAAAACGCCTGGCTTGTGTGAGCCTCACAAAGCTTGAGTTAAGATCACTGCCTTAGAATATCCTTGAGCTTGTACCAATACTGCAATCCTCCATACCCTGGGCTCAATAACTAACCCTCAATTTATGAATTCTTTCTTTATTATCCCCTGAACATCTGCTCCTGAGTTTATGCTTCAAACGGGGACTACTTACACCCTTTGAAGGTCATTGTGTCAGCTACTGACCATGACCCTAACAGGTTAGAAGCATTTTCCCATGGTGAATAAAGTTGTTTTTTATTTATTTCTGACTTTGGTAGTCCTTTCCTCATTATTCGAATGTTCCATGACCCCAACACTAGAGACCTCTCCTGAGGCTCAGAAATTAATTTTCCTGCTTGACTTAGTCTGTCATTGAAGTTTTCAACTTTGTGTTTTGAAATTTCCATGTATTGATTTCTTAACTCTGGGATTTCTGTTTATGGCCTATAACTCTTGAATTTCTCATATGGAGCATGAATCTTATTACATTTTTCAATGCATTTTATGTACTGTGTTTTAAATGAACTCATTTAAAAATCATAATGGCTATAAGAAGCAGGTGTTATCTGCAGGTTTTTTTTTTTTTTTTTTCCGGT